GACTTGTTATGTGATAAGTTGAAAAAAATTGGTTTCGGATCCATCGAAGTGAGCTGTGTGTACTTTATCACACTAGTCGTTCGAGTGGTGACTTGTGCAAAATATTTTCTCCTGAATCCTTGATTCAAAATGGAGTTGCGTCGTTGGGTGAATCCCTCGACTCTTGTATCCAACTACCATGAATCTAAATGTAGTTACGTCGATGGGTGAATCCCTCGACGCTTGAATCTAATTGCAATAAGTCATTGGGTGAATTTCTCGACGCATGAATCTGATTGCAATCACGTCATTGGGTGAATCCCTCGACCAATCATCTACGGGTATATCTCGAGTATACTGCGTCCTTAGTCGAAGAGCGGGCCCGGGACAGGGGTATGAATGGTGACGGGTTAGGTATCAAAATAAGACGCTCTACATGGATTATAAGTAGTGAGAGTTGACGGAGGGTCAACTACGATAAATGGTGATCAAGCGAGGAAAAATGGCTCCTGAGAGCCCACGTATCCTACCTTGTGCTGTTATACGCTTTCCTAACTGTTTAAAGTTGTTCAGTTATTAATCGCTGTTTGAAATTATGTGATTGCATGTTTTTGGAGCACCACTGAGCTTTAGCTCACCCCACGTTTATTGTTTTCCTTAACAGGTTCTGGAAACTGAAAGCTGGATGCTTACTTATGTTTTTCTTTTGGACTGTATTTGAATACTATAACTTATTCTGTGGGCTGTAATGTGTTATTTGGGATAATGTATTTTCCTTTTTGGATTGCCACTTGAAACTGGAAAATGTGTAAACCCTAATTCGATTACTTGGCTTGTAAGCTTGTATTATGGATTTATGTATTTATCTATCTGGTTGGGTACGACTTATACTTCGTTACGTAGCACGTAGGTCGTTTTAGGGCCTTGACTGGTTATTTTTATCATTGCTATCTCTGAAGTTAATGTGGCTTTAGGTATGATTCTATTCGGGAAAAATTGTTTTGTAATAAATTAGTTATTCTTCGAAAGGTTTTGGGTTAGATTGCTTGCGTGAGACCTGGCGAGAGCTGGGCAGACGGCCCGCCAACCCTTTGGTTCGCCTCAGGGGGAAGTGGGGTCGCCACACTACTCATCCTCCATCCATGGACAAAGGTCAATTTGACTGAATAATATAAATTTCTGTGTTCTTGTTTTATTTATTTTTTGCTTTGTTATTTGTCTTTTAGGATTGCTAAGAAGTTAATTCCATGGAACCAAACCTAACAAATTGGTATCATAATTTCTGCGGAGGCTTTGGGTTCTGTTGTTGTTGAGAAATTCGATAGAAATGTCAATTTCGGAATATGGCAGTAAAAGATGAAAATCATTTTGGTTTAAAACAGAGTTGACTTAGTGATACAGAGAATTGAGAAAAAAAGTCAAAAAATGTGACAGATGTAAATTTAAAGCAAAGTTTGTATATGTTTCGAATAACTGAAGATACGTCTATACTCTCACATCTTGATAAATTTGATTCTATTATTATGGATTTGGAGAATATAGATTCGAAAATTAATGATGAGGATCCGACATTGTTGCTTTTGTGTCCCTTTTCCCAATCCTTTAAATATTTTCGCGATACTATGATTTATAGAAAAGAAATAATTTTGCATCGAGAAATTAAATTTGCATTAAATCTAAGGAATAGATAGACAAGGATATCACCGAGATATAGAAATTTGACCGAATTGATAAAAGATAATTTGACAGGAGTGGATTTAAATTTATATTTAAATCCAAACACTGAAATTTGGAGTGCAATTATTGTCACATATTGTAGCACATTAAGGCTAAATGCTTTAAATTGAAAAATAAATTAAAACAAAAGGAGAACCCTGGTGAGAAAAATGCTGAAACATCTTGACGCATTTGCAATAGTTATGGCTACTGTCGCTCCTGCCACCATGGAATAAATTGAAAATCCAAGTGTGCTATACTTATTGCCTATATTATCATGAAACCTATGATCAAAACAATCATTATTGTTTATCGGAAAATGAAGAGGAACAGTTAAATTTGGAAGAAAAAAATTAATAATTGGATAGTTAAGGCGGACCCTTGGTTGCTTCGAAAACGGGCCTAAAGAAGATGCACGAAAGTGCAAGCAATTAAAAAAAGCAAGCAAGACCAAAAATATTGCAGAATTTAATTGAAAGTTTAAAAAATACTCCTGACTAGTTGTGGGGAAGAGGAAAAAAAATGACTATAGTTGTAGAAGTCCTACATTATAACCAAGATTATAGTTTGAGGACTAAATTGATTAAAAAAAATCATGAAGGACAAAAATGATTTTAATGTAAAAGTTCTAGGATTGGATTCACAAATTTCCCTAAAAATTATTTATCTTCCCTTTATTGTCTTTTAAATTAGAGTGATGTTATTAGCTTAATTACGTTAAAACCTCTATAAATTAATAATCTTGGAACCATACATATTCTTTTAATTCAAAGAGCTACTAATTAATCGATAAATTAATAATTTACTAATTTATTGAGTGTATTTACAAATTAAAAAAAATTCATTTAATCAGCTAAATTTTTGTTTTATTTTATAAAAATATGAATTATTCTATTAATAAAAGGAAGTTAAAAGTCGAAGAAATATAAACCAATCCATATCTACTTAATTTGCAAATATAATTTAATTCTATTAATGTCTTCAATATATGTACATAAGTGATACCATTTTCTATCATCAAAATGTCAAGAAGATTTAGCAATACTAAATGATAAAAGATTTAGAAATACTAAATGATAAAGGGATAATTTCAGAAACCTCCCTTAGGTTTCTGACAATTTCACTAGTCTCCCCTGAAGTCTGCAAAATAACACAAACTTCTCCTGAGATTAAGGTTTTGATAACAAAATTAGTTCAATTACTTTAAAGAGAGAGATGAAACTTTTATTCCATAAATACCCATTATACATGTAAATAAGTTGTATTAGTAAAAGAATAAAAATAATTAAAAGTTAGAAACAATTAATACACATATTTCACCATTCAAAAAGTTCACATGTAATAAATTAGACAACATAAATAAGTAACAAAACTATACTAATGATCACAAGATTCAACAAAACAAACTAGTCAGTTTTTTTAACATAATTTTGCTATATCATGACAAAACAGTTTTTCTTTTCCCTCCTTTCTGTGAAAATTTGAAAAATTTGAATTTTTGTTTTCAAAATCACAAGAATTATAACAAGTATCATGACAAAAGAGATAACTAGTTTGTTTTGCTAAATCCTGTGATAATTAGCATAGTTTGTTGCTATTTATGCTATCTAATTTATTGAATGTGAACTTTTTGAGTAGTAAAATGTATGTATTAATTATTTTTAATTTTTAATTATTTTCATTCTTTTACTAATACAACTTATATACATGCATAAGGGGTATTTATGAAATAAAAATTTCATTTCTCTCTTTAAAGTACTTTTTTAACATTACTTTTTTAAATTGAAATAATTTTGTTATCAAAACCTTAATCTCAAAAGAAGTTTGTGTGATTTTACAAACTTCAAGAGAGTCTAGTGAAATTCTCAAAAATCTCAGGGGAGGTTTCTGAAATTATCCCAATGATAAATGTTCACTTCCATTTTATTAAATGCACACAATGAATCAAATTAATAATACTATGTATATAAATAATGAGGAAGTCTTTTTATAATGGACAAACACAAATTTTTCTTCCATATCTTATTGGGTAAAAAATAAAAAAATCCTGTGATAAATCTAATATACAAAAAAGTCCTCTGTAGTTTCAAAATATACAACACGACACCCTATATTTTGAACAAAATTGTAAAGGTGACGGAATCCTTTAAATTTAACGGAAATGGACAAAATGACCAAAATACCATGATATAATTAAGCAAAAGACAACTCAAAAAAAATTATTTGTTTTATTCTCTAAATAGAGAGAATTAAAGGTTAAGGGATAGAACAGATATATTTGTTAAAAATTAGGTATAAATTTTTTTTTTTAGGTTTCGATAAGTTGTTTCCGTTAAGTTTAATGGATTCCGTCACTTTTATAATTTAGTTCAAAACATGAGATGTCATGTTATACGTTTTGAAATCACGGGAGTTTTTTTTGTTTTGTTTTTTACTCTATCTTATTACTAAACTATAGATTTCTATTAGGCTCATATTTTAGAAAAATCTGATATATAATTTTAGTGAATTATTAATTTATAATACAAATAAAATTAAAGAGCTATGTAAGGTTTTCAAAACAAAAAATATTATCTTATTATTTTATCAAAATTATTAGTTTAGCTCATTAGTCTAAATCAAGATCGAAAAAGTTTGTTATTTAATAGATGTTATTAATTTGTCGAGTACTAATTTAGAGAAGTTTTACTGTAATGTTGTTAGTTAATTTCACCAAAACACGTGTAATTTTCACAAAAACACACATAAGAACATAGAGTGTCATATTATTTGGAATACCGCCTCAATCACTAATCCACTTTAGAAATATCGAGAGGTACAATCCGAATTGCTGGAATTCATAAAAAATACCGACCCATAATCTGCATGCTTCGTTTGCCACTGAGCTGCGCTGCGCGCATGGCTCCATCTAATGGCTTCTTAGGCACAAAGCAGCACAAGTTATGAAGTTTATAAGAAGCTTTAAATAAAAACCGCAGCACGCCCAGTTGGCTTTGACAACAGGGTTCCTTGTGACACGGATCGCACTCAGCCGCGCGCATGACCGTGCCTGTGCCCACGCGCCCGTGCCCATGCCCATCCTCACGCACGCCCGCACATGACCGTACCTAGTCGCATGCGGCTGTACCCAGTCGGCCAAGCGTTCATTCCGTATTATAACCGCACATTATGTGTTAAGACTAACTAGCCAAGCGTTCATAGCTTAAATCTTGAACGTACGCTAGTGCTGCACAAGGTGTTAGCTTGTAGGAAAACAAGCAGCCGTGACACTTGGCAATCTATTCTAATTTTTTGACAAATAGTGAGACCATTTGCACCTTGCACAAAACATGAAACTACTGATCTATATTCCTTGTGCATTATGCTACATTACAGACAAGCCCCTTCAACCCCATAGCAAATAACTATCTACCAAGGGAAACAACGCAAAACTATCATCTAAATCAAAACATAATGCAAGAATAGGCGAAAAGAAAAGACTAATGTGTGAACTAAGGGAGCACATAACTAAACAATTACAATTGATATACAACGATGCACACTTTTGAACGGAAGAAACAAGAATTCGAAGTGTACATCAGAGTTCCGAAAGAATTGCAGGGATATAGTGAGACAATTCTGCAGTAAGTGACTGAAACCCATTGACAAGCTGCGTGTGGAAGTCCTGGTCTTCCTCTCCAATCAATCTAAAATGCACCCGAATAGCTCGCTTGCAGACAGCCATAAATTCCAGGAGGGCAGCAATTAGTTGCTGTAATTCCTGTGAGCGCAGCCTTGTTGCAGGCTCACCAGAGAGGAAAGCTGTACATACACTCAGAACTCCGCTGTTCACCTGTAAATGCATTAATCTTTTGAGTTTAATAATGCCCCCAACTTAGAAGATCTTATTAGACCACAAGCAAACAATACAATTAAGGCAAGCATTCTTCCAGAAAGAAGATGATGCCAGGAAGCATCTGAAGCCAAGCATGTCAGAAAATTTTGAAAAGATTACAGTTAATCACAAAACAGAAGAGACCGATGAATCATTTAAAGTGTGGCCAAACTCACTTGAACAGCTACAGAGCCTTGAAGTATCCTTTGTAAACTCTGAAGCCTTGGAAGTTGATCGCCTTCAGAGCTGCGAGGTTCTTCAAGTTCATTACGTAATGCAGCAGTTCGAGTTTCAATCATTCCTATTGCATTCTCAACTGGGGAAAACTCCAGTGACTCTGACTTAGTAACCACAAGCCTATTAACTAAGGCAGGGAAGGAGCCCTCAGTCTGCAAAACAGTACGGCGCTTCCACTGATCTTCCAATCCACCTTGGGTCTTTCCATTTTTAGTAAAAGGAGTGTCAAACAAAAAACGGTCAAAGACACGGGCACGTATGCTTCCCGTAGAAAGAGAAAATATTCTTTCCCTTCTGCTTCCGAGATCCTCATCTTCCATGACCGGATCAACAGCAGTAATCTGAAGGTAGCAAACACTAGGCTCCAACTCATCAGCTTTAACTTGTCGAGAATCCGGAATGACATGCAACGTGGTTCCACCCATTCTTGACTCGTATATATGACTAAGTTTCTCCATTATATCACCCAGCCGGACATCACGGGGTTCTCTGTAAACATACTCTTTTCTATCTAGCCTCCCAAATTTTTCACCATAGAATCCCACCCTATAGTATGTGGCATCTGTGAATGGTATAGGACTAGATTCTTGCTCAAGGATGGATTCATAGATATTGGTTAACATGGTATGGCATTTTGCTAGCTGTCCATATGACCTTCTACTTTTGTACACTGGAATCACAAGTTCTAAAATGCTTGCACAGAAATGGTAGAGCTCAGCTTGTGAGAAAAGCTTGTTTGCAAGCTGTACATATTTTACCGCGGAGTCAACTGTAAGTTTCGAGGCACCATAGCCTTCTACCTCTGCTGCTGAGGCCTCAGAAGTTATCTCGCTGCTGACCATTGGGCATATTTTGCGCAAGGCGTTGACATGTTCATTGCTCCAGACACCATCGTTCCTGCTCACAAGGGCCTAGAAATAGTTGTGAATGTTATACTAGCACCAAAACTTGGTATATTGATAGTTAGTTCCTAAATAGTGAAAATCAATCACGCTAAAAATAAGGTCCAAAATATATGATTTTTCCACAGTGGGTGCCAGCTCTTTCTCCGTTTCCTTTTTTGTTTAATTTTTTATTTACTTTTATTTTATTGCAGGTAGTTATGTCAATATATGCCACAGCATAACACCGTTTATGTTCAGTGAAGTTAAAAGGTCTGCTGGAAGCTTTGGCAAATCAAAGTGGAGAACAACATAGTATACCTTATTATTTTAGAGCTCAGTGGTCCTAAATAAGTTGGATAGAACTCATTGGTCCATAAAACTCCAACGTAGGACTAATAATTCCAAAGAAAAAGCATGTCTAAGGATCTTTCTTCATTTCTTTAATTTACAAACTATTTGTTTATGTATCTCAATTTCCCAAAATTGCAAGATCACTAATTATTTATTTTTGGGTGCAAAATGTTGTACCTGCACTGCCTAAACCTACATGGAAAGGTTTCAGAATTCAATCATCAGATGGAAAGTAAGTAAAATGCTGAATAAATGGAGGTCTGAAAACTCCTGGGTCCTACAGAAACACTAAATGTAGCTTTCGTAAATTATATACTTAAATTAGCTCTAATCATATAATGTAAACTGGTAGATTAAGCAACAAAACAGTTAAGAGGAAGCTGCTTGTGTTTTCTCCAAGATAGACAGAAGGAGAAAAAACCTGCATTACTACACCAGCAACCGCAACAGCACACTGTGCAGCTTCAGCCCAAGACTGCATCTCCTGATGCGCGTCACACAAATGCAGTAACCACATTATATGAAGATCTGGAACAGGAGCAAAGGCCAATGCAAGTTTGTAAAAGCCCTCTGCTGCTGCATATCGATCCACAGTCATAACAGATGCCTAAAAGATTTTTTGGTTAATACCATATATTAATAAAAATCCATCATGCATATTATATGTGGTAGGATTGATCATAATATCTAATATACCAGAAGCGCATGTTCCAAGCTAGCATCAAGAGCCAAAAGAAGACTGTCAGCAAGATATTTGACCTCAGTCCAGGACCAATGGTTCTCTGATGAATTTTGAGGAACAGAGACAAGTGAATTATCTGGAAGACCACAATCATTTAACAAGTTAGGACTCTTAGATTCATCTGCCATTTCCCTCAACGATATTCTAAGACGGCGAGCTTCACCACTTTCTTCAAGTGTTCCATCAGATTTCATCTGAGTCACTTGAACTTCAGACATCAATTCAGAAAGAGTAATAGTTAGCATGACCCTTAGCCTAGCTGTTTGCGTGAAGTAGGAGAAAGAGCTCTGCAACATGAAAAAGCCGAACTTTACTCGACATGTCAAGAAGCATATTTACTGCTGGAGCCATATAACCATCCTAAGTAAATCAGTAACTATACCCGGACAAGTATTTGTAGGCCAATAACAGCTCTTTTCCTGATATTGTCATTCCGAAAAACTGCAAGACGAAGAAGATGAAAAGCAACTTGCTTCAAGAATCGATCATTTTCCCTTGCCATTAGTGTTGCTCCATGGAGTTCAAAGACACTGTTGAACACAGGGAAGAGAGCTTTCCAGAATTCCAGGGGTTGATTACGTGAGAAGACATTCATAAATATAGTAGTCAGGCAGTCAAGTTTCGCATAATCAGTTGCGATGCTGTGGGATGCAGCAGTTCTTGAAAATTTCTCAGCTATTTCCAGAACTTGAAGACTGACGGCTGCACTAAGGTTTTCTTCCCAAAGTTCCTAAAATTATGCATTTCTGTCAAGCTAGCAAATAGAAAATCCAACCGCACAACAGTATTACTAAGAGATATTATACCAGTTTTTGTCTTAGGATTGGGTGCAAAGATTCCCTCAGCGCTTGAGTAGAGGCACCAATCCTGGAAGACTGTGCCTGAGCAAGAGCTTCCCGCAAAGAATATGGCTGACTGGGTGAACTAAGCTGGGAATTGACTCTTTGCCACAAGTACCCATTTTCAGGTGTTCCCTGAGGCTGGATTAATAGAGATTCCTAAATCTTCAACCATTTACCGGCACAGACGGAAACGACAAAGAAGCAGAAGTCTTTTTTTTTGGGAGGGGGGGGGGAGGGGATGCTAAAGCTCAGATAAAACGTACTCTCACTTCGTGTCGTGCTGCCTCAGATAGATAGTGATTAATTGCTGGTGAAAGTCTTTCAGAATATTTTGGAGATGCAGGTTTTTCCTGTCCGGGACTGCGAGAACTATTGCTGATTAACATGCTATCAGCAGGTCTTCTGTGCTGCAAAATTTTTCTGGCCAATATTAGTAAATGAGAAATCAATTTCATTACCAACATTGTACACAAGAAAGTTATCTCAACCGACTAAGCAGACTAGGAAGAGGTGCTCTTGGTTGGACTGACAGCTTTAGACCATCCTCCGATGAGGAGGCAGGAAGAATAATCTGGCCTCTTATAGCATATCAAACTCCATCATGTTAATTCTGTTGTCCTCAAATTCCTTGAGTTTGTCTGGATAGGAGGTTATTTGAAATAATTACTGTAGCACTTTTTATGATGTGATGTATGTGAGATAAAAAAGTGATTGGAAATTGTGTTTATGATGTAAGTAGAAAAAAATTTGAATTTTTTTTTGGCAAATCTTCCTATCCAAACAAACTCCTTATTACCAATACTCGTATCATAGTGTACAAACTAAACAAGCACAATTCATTGTGAACATTGTTAAAGAATTGTTATCGCCACACATTAGATGACTAATTGAGTGTACAAGTATTAACAATTATGCTCCATTAAGAAAAGAGTAGGGCTAAAAACCGTCACGCTAAACACATACTAGAATTGAGCAAAATTGTGAAGAAATAAACAAATGCACAAATTCATAATCTAACCTCAAAATGAACTAGGCCCTCCTCCAAAAGTTTGAAAAATAATCTAGTCCGAGCAATGCTTTGTTGCCATGCCTTCACAAGCGAGGCATCATCCAAATTGCGTATTATTTGCAAAATAATTATCAATACTTCACGCTTTTCTATTGCACTCAAATTGTAGAAGACAGGCATTTCATCTAAGATCTGCACAGACAAAACTTTCAAAATGAGATGGATAGAAGTTTGTTGACTTCCAAATTTCATTCAGCAAATTAAAATATTTTACCATGACACCTGCAATATTATTTAAACAAGGGAAAGCAAGCTACTTAAACCTAACACATTAGAAAAGAAGGCTTCGAGTAAGAAGTCTTGAGATTGAGGGATGCATAGATATGCCTTCCAGGGCCTAAAACAGATCTTAATGGCAGACAAAAAAAGTCAACTAATGACATCCAAGTCCTAGAAAAGAACTAGAGTAACACTATAATCCAGAACTTGTATACACTTAAAGCTACTGAAGCTACCAATCTAAAATCTATCCTACCTTTCAGGCATGCAACTTCAAAATGCGAGAAAATTGAATCAGATAAAGTCTTTGAGAAGTAGAAAGGGGAAAGGGCTAAGTAGTGCTTAAAGAATAAGCCACCCATAGCAAGCTAGAGAAGGAAAGCAAAACAGCTTATCCAATGAGTAGCTCCATTCTAGTACTTTACACTTCGAGCTTATGAAGCCGTAGACGCATAAACAGTTGGTCTGAAGCTTCTCTTTAGGACAGCATGGTTAACAAATACAGAGTTTGGGCACAGAGGAAAGAGATAAACTTCCACTTGACAGATTATTCGCCAAAATTGTTAAAGGAAGTATATGAAGTACTATATTATGAAAAACTGTAAAAATATGGTTTAAACACACAAACAGAGGGTTTCTATAGGGGGGTGGAAAGATACAGAAGAAATGTTGAACTCAGCAGCCCCTTTACACAGGATTCTAAGGTCAATAAAACTGGTAAAAGATGAAATATCAGATATTCTGATCACAGATTCACAACAAAGCTTTGTAACCAATAATGAGGGACAATTTATAAATTATTAGGAAACATTGAGGTGGGCCCATGATCAAAATACTCAATGGGCCATCGAAAGAAAATGAACACAAAGAGGTGTTCCAAATGGCCAGTAAATGGAAACGTGGTATAGCAATGTTAATTTATTAATGTTGACACTTACCAATACTTTTGCAATGCAATTCATACTTCTTTGCAATTTCCACATTAACACAACGTGCATTTGACTTCATATCAATTAGAAATTTAGAAGCAGAAAATGGAATCATAGTGCTGACACCTGAACCCAAGCACATCTCCATGAACCAATCTAAAATTATCAGTTAACCACATTGCACTTTTATTGGTAAAGGGACTGGACTTCAAAAATTACGCATCCATCAACTGTCTTATGCAAACATTAAACTCATAATAACTATGGGATGATAACAAAATGACCTAGCCAAACAGATTATATCAACAATTGCATCACACATTACAAATCACATACAACCAAAAAGAAACAAGAAAAAAAATTTTAACCAGGTCAAATAAAAGTAACATATTAAGAGCAATACATTTATCATGTTAAGCTCTACAGCGTCATCCTTAGTTCAACAGTTAACTGCATTTTCTTAAATTGTTAGAGCTGGAGCTAACCCATCGGTGCAATCACCATACATTTTTTAGTTGTTCCAGTTTGTTTTTGCAGTTTTCTGTTTACTTATTGTTTCTTTTTCCTGTAATGCTTCCTTGGCTTAAATGAGGATCTTGAACAGGACAAGACCATGAGGCTAATACTAGACTTTCTTTCTTTCTTTCTTCTTCTTTCTTTTTTCTTTCTTTCTTTCTTCTACTCTGTTCTCCTGCTGGTCCGTCGCTCCTGCTACACGCGCACCTCCAGCTCAGTGCCGCCCACCAGATCTGCCCCCACCGCTCGCCACTGCCGACGCGAGAGTGACGCCGCCGCACGCTGCCGGCTCCAACTGCACGGCTCTCCTCCATCTCCCTCCAGCTCCTCTGAGCTATGTTGCTCACCCGGCGTCGACCACCACCACAAGCCGTCCCTCGCAGCAGCTTCCTTTTTCTGTCCGCTGCTTCTTCCTCTCGCTCGATTGGAGCCATCGAGCGCCGCCGCTGCTGAAGCTTGCCAGCCGCCCCTTCGCTGTCCGCGCGCCAAGTTCCGCCACGCGACGCAGGCCACGGACAGGGCCCGCACGCCACTTCGCGAGGGCCCAGCTCATCTGAGTTCCGCCGCCCGCAGCTCCACCTCCGACCGCTGCTGTTCACGACACCAAACGCTGCACCTCCTCTCTCTTCGCCGCACGCCACCCGCTGCTGTCCCATTTCATTTGGTTGTCATCCAAGGTGGAGGTAATTGGAACTTGTCCCCCATTCTCTTAATAACTAATTGGTGCTGCCTGGGTTGCTCAATAGTTAATGTTGTTGACGATTGAAGTTTATTTTCTCAATTGGTGAATTCCACCAGTGGTACTGGTCGGACTATTTTCGCTTGGAATTGCTATTTCTTTTGGGTTGGGTGAAATTGTGCAATTAATTGGCCAACTGGAGCCATTTGTTGGGACTTTGGGTGAGTTGAAATATTGCACTTGTTTGTTAAATTGGGAGGCCTCTATACCATTTACATTGCTTATTCCAGTTCAGTGCATCTAGTTGAAATGCTGGGTTTCATTATTAGATTTGACTGAGAATCCTGTGGATACATTGCTTGTTGTGTGAATTGAGCTACATTATTTGGGGGATCTCACTAGTGTGGGTTAGTAGCCGTTGAACTTGTTTCATCCATTGTTTGGGTATTTTGGCTTCACTGGGTCACTTCTACTCTTTTGGCTGACTGTTGGAGGCTGGGCACTTGGAGTTACTCTGCTACTGTCGAATTTATGAGTTATTATTGATTGCATTGTTATTTCTTGGGGCTGTTGCTACAATTTCAGTTGATTGAGTTGTGCATTCCATTTTCCGCCAGTGGTACTAGTTGGAGTGTTTTCCCCCGAATGTGTTTACTCTAGCTGGTTAGATATTCGATCAAACTGCCAGGACCACTAGTGAGCTGTGATTTGCTTGTTCAATGTTAGGGTTTTTGTCTGCTTTGGTTCGGGGTCATTTGCGTGGGTTAGCCATTGTCCCTTGAATTAATTCTAATATTGCCTATTGAATTGGGAGATTGTGCTGCCTAGTTCCCTGTTGAGGTTGGTCGAATTTTGTTTAAGTGTTGGGGACATTCTGGCGATTGGTTCATATTGCTAATTTGGGACCATTTGTCTGTGTTTTCGATCGTTTTATGTGTGAACGTAGTTGTCAGAGCTGCTCGAAGCCCTTCTTTGGTCGATTGTTGACTTCAGTGGCCGGGGTTGAGTACATATCTTCTTGGTATTTTTTCTTTGGGTATTCTTTCTTTGCTGGTGGGTGACTATATACTTGGTGCTATTGTTTTACTACTGGCGTTGCTCTGCTCTAGCAATTTCTCTGATTTTGGACTGCGTTTTGTACCCGTGGTACTGGTTGAAGTATCTTTCCTTGAATTTGTTAAATCTAGCTGGTGGATATCGGCTTGAATGCAAAAGGTTGTGCCTGCACTGATATTGCTGGATTTTTGAACTGCTATTACTAGAGTTAGCATATTATTGGGTAATTGTTATGGTTTGACTGGTGGGGGCATTTGTTGCAATTTTAGAGTGTATTTATTGAGATTGTGGATGGCTCAAGTTTGCTTGTTGACTAACTGAATTGGGTAGTCCTGTGCTTATTGACGTGACTTTGCTAGTTTCCAGTTCTTGATAATAGTTTCTGGTTGTTGATTTTGGAGTGCAACTGTTGCTTTGTTGACGCATATTTGGGCTGGGTGCTCGTGTTTGCTTTTGCATTTGACTATTGAGTTGGGGAACGCCAGTGACTATGGATTTGCATTTGTTGGTTGCTATCATTGTTGGATATTCTGTCTTTTGTTGTTTGGGGTGATAATTGGCGTCAATGGTGAGTGGCGCTGACAGGTCGTCAGCCTGTGCAATAATAATAATAAAAATAGAACCTAGCTACCACCAAAAGCAGTCAATAATTAATCCTAGGTACTGGAGCAGGGACTCTAGGTGTGCAATGGGTTACTTGATTCACCTATTGGCCCGAAGAGTTTGCTTAACCCGATATACCAGAATTCATTAATTGACAAAAATTACTAAATAGTAGACAGTGGCAAGTAGGGTCGTCTCCTCAGGGACTGGAGATATCTGTCTCTTTCAAAGTCCAATGATAAAGGGGGATTTCACCGGAATGCAACTAAAAAACAATTAAACAATTTAACTAAAAATGAATAAATAACTAGCGCAAATATAGCAGGAATTTAATAGGAATAAATAAATTCTAGTCAAGGATACAACTACTCAGGCACAGCAGTGATATTATCCGATCATTGATGCAGGAGAGGTTCACTTAATGTATTAATAGGCTAGTTATAGTCTGACAACCAATTTTTCCTTAAGTTATAGGTGACCAAGGTACGACCATTAATCACCCCTAACCAGAAAAGTACTCCTAGGTACGACCGTAGGAATTAATTTTCTAATTGCATTAATAACCAGAAAAACCTAGCCCTAATCAATAACACGCTACGAGGGTTATTTAAATTAGATTGCACATTCCTCTAATGTGTAAACACACCAGTTGCCACTAATATTAATCAATCAAACAATTACGGATTTAATTGACTAAATTGGCACGAGATTAATAAATCAAGTTGAACATCGGGCCCTTGACATCCAATTAATAAAATAATCCCATGAAAATTAAATCAGACAACATGCAAATATTAATAGATAAAGGAACACGTGAAAACTAATTAGATCTCACAGATTTTCGGGACTGCGCCATCGAGTTGACCCTTGACTAGATGAAAGACTTAGCCACGCCGCATAATTAAATCACCACACGAGTTAATAAATTGCGAAGGCATCGTTTTGTACTAAGAAATAAGGAATGAAGGAGGTTTTCCCCGTTGGGGAATATTGTCAAGCACCTGGCGTGTGTCAGAGGCCAGTCCAAGGAAAAGAAAGAAAAAAACTAAACTAAAGACTAGGCTAAAAAGCTAAACTAAAAGCGGTCCCTCGCCTCTGTACGTTAGCTCCCTATTTAAAGCCAAAGGAAAGATATCCAGTGGTCCCCACCAATTGGACACAAGCTGCCGAATTCATCTCCTTGTTTTGAGCCTCTGCGCGGTCCCCACCAATTGGCCACAAGCTGCCGAATTACTTCTTGTTCCTAAGGCTTTGTACGTTGCCTTTACTAGCTCTTGTAGCTCTTGTGGTCCCAGCCAATTGAGGCTTTCTGCTGGAGTCTCCCAAATTTGCATCCAAAAGTCCCTCTTTTTGTAGTTATCTGCTCCACTCCTGGAATTGGGTCCAGATATCAAATATGAGTAAATATCAGCAATTAACACAATATTTGTCCGGGATAGAAGGGGAAATTAATAATAAAATTACTAACAAATTATACCCTATCAATTCCCCCACACCTAAATCATGCTTGCCCTCAAGCATGGGAAAAGTGGACAGACCCAAAAATCATATATCGGTCATCACTCTAATCTACCACATTGCCAAGAGATTCAAGAGAAAATCATATGTCGGGCACTAGTAGTTAAAATCCGAGAAACATCCCCCAGTTAGCCTCTACCGCACACTCCTTCAATTTCCAAATTAACTAGTCTAAGGAAAAGGAATGACACACAGCATTTATCAGCTAATGGTCCAAATATTCACACAAGTCCCCATATTGAGTCCATAAACCAGCAAGCTTCCCTATTATGTATTCTCTCTTTTTTTTTTTTCCCTTTTTTTTTTTTTTTTTTTTAAAGCACATAATAATATTTGACACACGAAAACTTAGTCTCTAGCCGCCGGAGCCTTTTGACGCGAACTCCAACATTTTTAGATGAAGGAGCCCGGTTACTCAGCTCCTACCGCTATGCAACCACGTACTCATATTAAGTACCACCTTTTGACGCGAGAATCGACACTTTTAGGTACAGATTCCCGGTTACTCGGTAGTAGCCAATAGAGGAGTACAGTCAAGCTTATTCACAGCTAATCAAAGCAGAAACGCAAAATAACAGCGCTAACAACTAAACATAGGGGCAGCTCGCCTCATTATTGCCAAACATGGAGAACTGGAGTCAATATTGGACCAGTTCACATTAAAATGCCAACAGTCATTCCCAATGCCTAGAAAAGTTAACACGGAAATCAAAAGAACCAAGCAGTCCGATATTCACCAAGGAGACATCTCGAATCCAACCACACTAACCCGATACATTATACTTAAAAAGAACTTGGCAAAAGTAGAACTAGAGTCAATAAACCAAATAATTTTTTTGTTTTGTTTTTTTTTTTTTTTTGGTTTTTTTTTTTGGTTTTTTTTTTTGTTTACTAAATTGTCACATAGGATTAAAACTAGAATTAATAGTCACAAAGAAAGAAAAATAAACAACTAGAATTAAAACTAAAAACTAATAAAACTAGAAACTATTAAAAACTAAGAACTAAAACTGAAAACTAAAAATTACTAAGAAATAAAAACTACTAAAAACGGAAAACACCAGCACCACTTTAGACCCATTCCCCCACACCTATAGGACACATTGTCCTCAATGTGACAAATAGAAAGCAAAAGTGAGAGGGAAAAGGACCAAACTTCCCTGAAATCGGGTCAAAACAGTAGCGGCGCGCGACTCCAGCGTGGATGGCGGCGGCTCGGGTGGATGGCGGACGTTGACTGGGCAGCGGCGGCGCTCGCGTCGTTGTGCTGGCAGATGGGAGAAAGGGATGGCGCGGCTGAGCTCAGTAGCTGCACGTGAGGGAGATGGCGGCGACGATGGATCTGCTGGGTGAGAGGGGGAATGGGTCTACTGGGTGCGGCGGCAGCTACGCGCGGTTGTGGGTCGGCTGCGGTGAGAAAGAGCTGGTGGGTCGGCGGCGCAGGCTTGTGGCGACTGGTGGAGCTCGATGCGAGGGGACAGCGGCGGCGGTGGCAGTAAATGGAAGCGTGGCGGCGTGCGCAGAGAGCAGGGGAGCAGCAAAACAGTGGAGAAGAAAGAAAAAGGGAAAGAAAGAAGAAGAAAGAAAGAAAAAGAAAGGAAAGAAAGAGAAGAAAAGAAGGAAAAAAAAAAAAAGAAATTTTTTTTCTTTTTTTTATTTTTAATTTATTATTACTAATATTATTATATATATTTTTTTTTTTTTTTTTTATTTTTATTCTTTTTTTTTTGTTTTGTTATTATTTGAATAACTGAAATAATAATAATAGTTTTTCTATATTTTTTTCATTTTTTTTTTATTTGAATCCTTACCTTTCCCGCGAACGTGACGCGGGCACGTCATAAGGCCAAGAGAGCTCCCAGAAGTTTCAGAATTTTCTGATCGTGAGCATCCTGCACATCACCACGCGGGCACGTCATAACTGAAGGTCGCCTACAAACCAGCAAAAACGAAAACTAACACCCAAAATCAGTCAAGTTGAAGGAAAACAGATTCAAACAATGACAGGAAACCAATAAACAATTAAAAGAAACAATTGGGTTGCCTCCCAATGAGCGCTTTTCTTTAATGTCTTTGGCTAGACATTGTCCAAAAATTTCCTTAAACTAAGCAAGTAGGATCCTCCAAGTGCATCACCTCCACCCGTTCAGTTGGAGCCCCTTCATAATACGGTTTGAGACGATGACCATTCACTACAAATTTCTTCTCAGCTTTCAAACTTTGGATCTCGACTGCACCATAATGGAAGACATTAGTCACAACAAAAGGGCCAATCCAACGAGAACGTAATTTACCTGGAAATAACTGCAATTTGGAGTGGTATAGCAGAACTTTTTGCCCACACTCGAAAGTCTTCCTTGAGATCTGTTGGTCATGAAAAATTTTATTTTCTCCTTATAAATTACCGCATTCTCATAAGCTTCATTGCGAATCTCCTCCAACTCCTGTAATTGTAACTTCCTGTGGATTCCGCCCTCCTCAATATCCATATTGCATTGCTTAACTGCCCAAAATGCTTTATGCTCGAACTCTACTGGAAGATGACACGGCTTACCAAATACCAACCTATAGGGAGACATCCCTATAGGTGTCTTGTATGCCGTCCGATAGGCCCAAAGTGCGTCTCCAACCTGTGGCTCCAATCTTTCCTATCAGGGCGCACCATTTTCTCCAAGATGGACTTAATCTCCCGATTCGACACCTCCGCTTGACCATTGGTCTGAGGGTGGTATGACGTTGAGACCCTGTGGAGTACACCATACTTGCGAAACAACGCAGCTATGGTTTTGTTGCAAAAGTGCGTTCCCCTGTCACTGACAATAGCTCTTGGCATTCCAAATCGCACAAAAATATTAGACCTGATAAAATCTGCAACCACTTTCGAGTCATTAGTTCGAGTGGCCTTAGCCTCCACCCATTTAGACACATAATCAACTGCCAGCAAAATATACAGAAAACCAAATGAAGTAGGAAAAGGCCCCATGAAATCTATACCCCAGACATCAAAAATTTCTACAAAAATCATCGGGACTTGGGGCATATGATCTTTACGGGCTATATTACCTACCCTTTGACAGCGATCACATGACTTACAAAACACATAGGCATCCTTAAACAATGAAGGCCAATAAAATCCACTTTCTAAAACCTTATGAGCAGTTCTCTTGGGTCCAAAATGACCTCCACAGGCAAAAGTATGACAAAAAGTTAAAATCGATTGAAATTCCATTTCACTTACACATCTCCTCATCACCTGATCTGCACATCTCTTCCATAAGTATGGGTCATCCCAGATGAAATACTTGGCGTCGCTCTTCAATTTATCCCTCTTCGATTTTTGCCAACCTGCAGGAAAATTACCAGTTACCAAATAATTGACTAAATCAGCATACCAAGGCAACTGAGAATTTAAAGAAAATAAGTGCTCTTCAGGGAATGCATCCCTCAATGGTTCATTATCTCCAACGGGTATACGACTCAGATGGTCAGCTACTAAATTCTCTGAGCCTCTTTTATCCCTTATTTCCAGGTCAAATTCCTGTAGTAGCAATATCCACCTGATGAGCCTCGGTTTTGCATCTTTCTTGGTCATCAGGTACCTTAATGCTGCATGATCAGAAAATACAATCACTTTAGCACCTAACAGATATGACCTGAACTTTTCTAGAGCAAAAATTACTGCAAGAAGCTCCTTCTCAGTGGTGGAGTAATTCAACTGGGCTCCATTCAATGCTCGGGATGCATAGTAGATGACGTGAGCTGCCTTCCCTACTCTTTGCCCCAGTACAGCCCCAACAGCATGATCACTGGCATCGCACATGATCTCAAATGGCAACCTCCAATCGGGGGCTGGATGATTGGGGGTGAAGTCAACAATTCCTTCAGCTTGTCAAAGGCTCTCTCACACTTGTCATCAAACTCGAAGGCTACATCCTTTTGCAAGAGTTGGAACAACGGGGCCCCAATTTTTGAAAAATCCTTGATGAACCTTCGATAAAAACCTGCATGCCCAAGAAAAGAACGCACCTCCCGCACATTTGCGGGGTAAGGTAATGCAGAAATAACGTCTATTTTAGCTCTGTCAACTTCAATGCCCTTAGATGATACAATATGACCCAGGACTATCCCGTGTTCAACCATAAAATGACATTTTTCCCAATTAAGCACGAGATTAGTCTCTATACACCTTATCAGGATCAATTTCAGGTTATCTAGACACGTATCAAAACTATCACCATATACACTGAAATCATCCATGAAAACTTCAATAATTTTCTCCACATATTCAGAAAAAATACTTACCATACATCGTTGGAAAGTCGCAGGTGCATTGCACAACCCAAATGGCATTCGTCTGTAGGCAAAGGTCCCGAACGGGCACGTGAAGGTTGTCTTCTCTTGATCCTCTGGGGCAATTGCTATCTGAAAGTATCCTGAAAATCCATCCAAAAAGCAATAATAAGCCTTACCAGCTAAACGTTCAACCATTTGGTCAATGAAAGGGAGAGGGAAGTGGTCCTTTTTAGTGACGGCGTTCAGCCTACGGTAGTAGTCTATACACTGCCTCCATCCAGTGGGTTTGCGCACTGGCACGAGCTCACCCGTTTGGTTGGCTTCTACCGTTACTCCTGCCTTCTTCGGGACTACCTGACCGGACTCACCCAAGGGCTATCAGATATTGCAAAGATGATCCCCACATCTAGCAGTTTTAGAATCTCTTTCTTTACAACTTCCATCATGAGGGGATTGAGCCTTCTTTGAGCCTGCCTAACAGGTTTGGCATCGTCTTCTAGCCTAATCCGGTGCATACAGATGGCCGGGCTTATCCCCTTAATGTCTGCGATTGTCCAGCCTATCGCCTCTTTATGCTCCCGAAGGACCCGGATCAATTTCTCTTCCTGGATTTTTGACAGTGCCGACGAGATAATCACCGGGAGTGTCTCATTATCACCCAAATATGCATATCTCAGGTGCTCTGGTAGAGGTTTCAACTCCAGTACAGGTGCCTGCACCACAGATGGCAATACCCTCTGATGAGGCTCGGGAGTAAAAATAGGTAAGACTTCATACCTTTTCCTGGTGGTCTGCAATGAGTGTAATGCACCTATTGTGCATTTTAAATCCTCACTCCACTCCACCTGAGGAGTTGTCTCCAACTCGAGGTGCTTGGTTAAAGCCACCTCCAACTCATCCCTGCCATCAGTTTCAAACACTTCCTGCACTACAGGATCAATAGCACTCACAGAGAAAATGAGCTAAAGTTGGAGTTCGAGGGGTATTTCATAGTATCAAAAATATTAAAATGCACAATTTCCCCATCAAACTCCATGGACAAGGTACCCTTATTAACATCAATTTTCGTCTGTGCAGTGCTCATAAAAGGTCTACCCAATAACAAAGGTGAGGGATCAGGGGAGTGATCATCATCCATATCCAGTACATAAAAATCAGCTGGAAACACCAAATCATTAACTTTTACCAATACATCTTCAACCAACCCATCAGGATATGCATTAGTTCGGTCAGCTAATTGAATGATAATTCCAGTTTCTTTTAATGGACCTAATTTTAGAGAAGCATAGATAGACTTAGGCATGACATTAATTGATGCTCCCAGATCCAACATGGCCCTTCTGATCACAGTATTACCTATCCTACAGGGAATAGTAAACATACCTGGGTCCCCGCACTTTGGTGGGAGCTTTCTCTGCAGGACCGCTGACACATTCTCCCCAACAATAACCCGTTCATCTCCCTCTCAATCGCCTTCGGTTGACACACAAGTCCCTTAGGAACTTGGCATATTTTGGTACTTGTTTGATGGCGTCTAAGAGGGGGATATTTATCTCAACCTTGCGAAAAACCTCCAAGATTTCCCTCTCCTTATCCTGCTTCTTTGATTTTTCCAACCTGCTAGGAAAAGGAGGCGGGTTAGTCCTAACTGTAATTGTTGGGTCAGGAAGTACCTGTGGATCTGCACCATTGCTGTCCTCCCTTTCGAGCTCACTTTCGATCTTCTCTTCATCCTTGTCCTTGGGGATCACAGGCTCAGGCCCTTGAACTTCCTTGCCACTCCTCAAGGTCATGGCGCTCACATTCTTCGGGTTCAACTCAGGTTGAGATGGCAATTTACCTTGATTTTGGGCATCCAAGCGGTTGATTGTTGTGGCCAGTTGACTTATCTGATTCCTTATGTCCTGCATTTCGGAGTCCGTCCTTTGCTGATGTTGCATAATGGTTGCCTCCGTCCTTTGCTGATTTTGCATAATAGTTGCCTCTGTCCTTTGCTGATTTTGCGCCATGGTTGTCATCATTTGTTTCATCATCTCCTCCATAGATGAACCGGATTGAGGGGGCGGAGGTGGTCGGGGTTGGTATTGCTGCTGGTACCTCTGGTGGCTTATTTGGCACAAAGCTAGACTGCCTGTTCGGTGTAAAGTTGGGTTGCCTATTCCCTCCATAACTGAGGTTGGGATGATCTCTCCACCCGGGGTTGTAGGTGCTTGAGTAAGGGTCGTACTGCTTCCTTGGCGCGGGCGCGTGGTCAGCCATGTTCACCTGTTCTGCAGTTTCTTCCTGAATCATTGGGCACATGTCTGCAGAGTGGCCTATACCAGTGCAAATCCCGCATACCCTGGCTTGTGATGCATTTCTCACAGCCTGTTGCCTAACAAAAGCAGTCAACTCATTTAGCTGCTGCTGCACAGAGGGTGTCTCTATCTCATTCACCCTACGTATTGGAACATCCTCTCTTGTACTGAATTGCTGTGAGTTCTCTGCCATCCCCTCTATTAACTCCCGTGCTTCCTGAGGGGTTTTGTTCACCAGTCTGCCCCCCACTTGCAGCATCAATGATGCCCTGTCTCTAAAAATGAGTCGCCTCATAAAAATATTGTATGATCAACTGCTCACTTATTTGGTGTTGGGCACCTGCGCAACAAGTTCTTATACCGTTCCCAATACTCGTAAAGTGACTCCCTGGATGCTGTTTGATCCCACAAATTTCTTTCCTTAGACTTGCAGCCCTGGATGCAGGAAAATATTTATCCAAAAATTTTTTCATCAATTGGCCCCACGTGGTGATGCTACCTGGTGACAGGTAGTACAGCCAGTCCTTCGCAGAATCTTTCAAGGAGAAGGGGAATGCCCTCATTTTTATCTGCTCTTCTGTGATTCCCGGGGTTTCATACTGTTGCAAACAACATCAAACTCCTGCAGATGCTTTACGGCTCTTCACCTGGTAAACCATGAAAAGAGGGTAAAAGCTGAATCAGACCAGATTTTAGTTCAAATGGAATGTTGTCATTTAAAGCGGGGAAAGTAATGCACAAAGGCTGCTGAGTTAAATCAGGAGCAGCCAACTCCCTTAATGTTTGTGCATTAGCCATGGTTCCTTCCTCCTGGTCAGAGTCACTTGAAGTGTCACCAAACGAATCTGTTGGTTCAACTTCTGACTCGGGTCTTTGAGATGTAGCCCTGGAGTGCTCTTCTCTGAGTTGTCTGGTTTCCTTTCTCGTTCTACGCGCGGTCTTCTCTATCTCGTGGTCAAAAATCAAATCACCTGTACGAGAAGATCGAG